TTTTGATTTCATTTTTGTATACGTCAGTGTACGTTTGTTTTGTTTTTTTTTTTTTTGCTCTGCATATCCATGCATTTGTAAACATTAATTCTCTCAGTATATTATTTTATTGCATATTCATGCAGTTATAAAATTTTGAACGACAGTTCAAATTTCAGTTATTATATATATATATATATATATATATATATATATATATATATATATATATATCAGTACATATTTTATTATTTCTTGTTCCATATCAAGAGAAAGAGTTTTAGAACGTCAGTTCCCTAAAAACCAGAAAACTTAAAAATCGCTTACTTCTATGTGTATTTAATTGCATATCCATGCAATTGTAAGATTTTTTATCGCCAGTTCAAATTAAAATTATTATACAACAATGTATAATTTATTATTTTTGCCAGTAAGGGTTGGAACATCAGTTCTTAAGTCAGTTATTCCTGCATTCAGGTTATTTGTGTTACACTCGGACAGACATAGTTCGAACATCAGTTCACGATTTATATGTGTATTTAGCATTTTTTTATACAATTTTATATAAGATTGTTGTTGATAAGTAACTATTAAGATTACTTATTGTATGTTATGAGTATTTCAGAAAACTCATTAAGCTGTATATTCCAAGTTGCAGTAATTTAATACGTATAATTTGTTAATGGTATTCATATTTTGATTCATTAAGCAATATAAATCGGTAAAATATACGAGTTATTTGAAACAGTTTGTATAATTGAAAACTAATATAGAAAGATTGTATGTTTTTGAACGATATTTTATTAACATTCTTTTAATGTACAGTAATAAATTCACGTCAGTGAATAAGGATTGTGTTTTATTGAAAGATTAATGTTAAAGAGTATTTTGATGCAACAAGATCGGTAAAAAAAATGCTAGTTATTGGAGCCCGTTTGTGTAATTGAAAATTAACGTGGAAAGATTGTATTTTTTTATGATACTTTATTTTTTAATGCGCATTAATAAATTCACGTCAGTGAATAACAATTGGGTTTATTGAAAAATTAATGCTAAAGAATAATACTTATTTCATGTCAATGAAATTATTTTGTGTTTATGTACGCATAGTATTTTTTCGATTTATGTAAAAAAAAAATATTATCAGTTTAAATTGGAGAAAAACTACCAAATATATTTCGTAGTGTTCCATTATTCCAGCCAGGAATAGATCAAGTTGTGCATGTCGGTAATATTTTAAGTGATTTTTGTGTATCCGTAATATTTTAAGTGATATTGTGTATCAGTAATACATGAAGTGAGATTATCAAGTGGTTAAATAAGTAATATATTAAGTAATTATTTTATCAGTTATTTAAGTACACTTGGTATTTTGCGAAATATATAATACATTATTTTGAAATTCCTCCTAAATCATTGAGTGGTATGTTAGTGTAGCGGATGCTTATTGTTGTGTGTTTTAATCAAAGATATATTTGTGGTATTTAATTTTTGCAATCCCTGTTAGTGTTATTTTCATTTGATTATTTACTTAGTTTTGGTATATTGAACAAAAATTTCAAATGGCATTTTTGGAGAAAGCTGAAAAGCAGGATTTAATTTTGTTGGCTGAGGATTTGGGGGTGAGGGTATCAGATAAAATGACGGTTATAGATTTGAAAAATATCATAATCGGTAGCAAAGATTACGAAGAAGAGTTCTTTAAAGCTTATTTATCCGTTATTTCAGAGGAACGCGTTGAAAGGGAAACAGAGGAAAAAATCGCCAGGCAGCACGCAATCGAGCAGCTGCGCTTGGAATCAGAATTGAATAAACTGCGGTTAGAGATCGAAAGTATTCGGTCGAATGTTAAGTGGACGAGTTGTGCAGAAGATCGTAAGAAGACACCAAATTATCGAATTGGTATCGGGAGGGCCGAGGAACATGTGAGGGAAACATCTCCTGCTGTGTTGATGGCTGAAGCTACGATACCAGTAACTACTCCTATCAAGGAAGAAAAGGGAATGGACGATTTAAGGGTTGTTCACGTCAAGGTCAAGGGTGAGCAAGAAATGGTGAATGCTGCCATAGACACAGGTGCCCAGATGCCTGTGGTAAGAGCAGATGTTGTCGAAGGACAAAGCATTGATAATAGAGGGTCAATTCAAATAACGTTTACATTTGGGGAGCATGAAATGGGTGAATTGAAAGGTTCCAACATGGAATTCAATGACTTTAGGCATGGTGTTGTGCCGGTCTCTAAAAATTTAGTTAACGACATATTGATCTGTTCCTCTGATTATGAAGGAATAATAGAAAACTTTTTTTTGCAAATGGTTCTCAATCCTGCGATACTTCGAGAACCTTCAAGGGAAGAAGGAATTATTAATTCAGTAAATTCGAAATCAGTTTGCAGCCAAGAAGTGGTCACCGATCTACTCCCTGAGACTTACACACAGTCTTTATTGAACGTTCCAAATGGAGATTTGGTTGCAGTAAAAATTAATGCATCGAATGTCCAAACAAATGGACAAGGTATAAAAGAAAGCAAGAGAGAGGTAGCCTTTACTTGTGTATTTAAAAATAGAATCTTGTATAGTAATCGGCGTGGTCGGCCCCGTAAGGAATGTATTTCCAAATTTATTGACTCAACCCTGTTGCAATGTTGTCGTGATCTCATAACAGGTATTGTTAATTTTGAGTTGAAAGCAAGATTGGAAGTATTTAAGGTTCGCGTGGATATTTTATGGACACTAACATGCATTGGTTGGTTTTTGTCGCTTTTGGGATTGCAAAGGATTTTTCTTGCTTTTATTCTACTTAGAAATTGGAAGAAAAAGATAATTTTTTTTCAATGTTTTAACCTGGTGCAATATAGGAATTAATGATTGGTTGGAGGCTTAAGCATGTAAAAATAATGAATTATCCAGGTTGCCTGCTCCTGTTAAATAGATAAGATCTAAGCCAATGATTATATATATATACTTAACATTTTTCTGTAGCATAATTTCTGAAAACCACTAAAGATTAAAACTTTGGCTTCTAAATATGCTTCGCTAATATATGTTGTATAATTATTTTAGATCTTGTGCTATATTTTTAGTAAATTGTCTTTTATATTTTAATATTTTTGAGTATTAATTGTGGTTGTATCTTGTATGGATATTAATTTTTCTAGCATATTAATGTGATTTGTAAAACTATTTTTTGGGGAGTTGTATTAGCAAAAGCTCTTTTCACGTGACACCTGGGGAAAAAATTTCTCTCGTTATCTCGTTTCTTGTCATGTAAGTATGCATTTGTTTTTTTTTGTTTTGTTTTTTATAGTTTCTTTTCAGCTGCATCGTCCTGGAATGACAGATGAGCTTTTTAAGGGGAGGTGTAGGAGTGGAAGGGTCAATTAACATCTCCTAAGGGTAATGGTCTGTTCCCCTCCCCTTGGGATAGCGTCGAAGGTCCCAAGACCACCTGCTCAAAGGGAGCGCCAGGAAAAGGGGATGAATAGCCCCTTCCCCCTTTGCAGGTGAGAAAAGAATGCATTCTGTCTTTGGGTACGAAGGAGGGATGTCATGTCAGAGTGTTGCTAATTGTGTACTGAGTGTTTTTTAAATGTTTTTCCTTTAAAATAAACTTTAGTATTTAAAATTTAGACCTCATGGTTTTATTTTGTTTCCTTGCCCATCAAACCTTAGTGAGTATGTCTGGACTTTTGCCAGAATGAATGCCTACAGTAAAATTTGGCGGAGGTAGAATTATGGTCTGGGGATGTTTCTAGAGGTAAGGACTAACCCTTGACCCTAATTCATCGGAAGTTCAACGCTGACTCCTAATAAACTATTCTAAATAAAAATGTTCTTCCTAGGCTGTCGCAACTTTACGAGAGTTGATCATTGTTACTTCTAGAATGGCAAAGCCACTTGTCAGATTGCGAGATGTCCACCACGGATTGGTATGATCATTACAGGGTGAACTTACTGGATTGGTCTACTCAGAGTCCAGAATTAAATCCGATAGTAAACATTTAGGAAGAGCTGGATCGCCGAATTAAGAAGTTCAGCAGCCGTCCAAAATCGGTGAAAGAACTTTCATATCTTCTCCAGGCAGAGGGAGTGTCCGCGGTCATGAGTGAGTGGTCAAGGTAACGAACTCAGGACCGGCGTGTCATGAGTTTGAGCCTAGCACCGGTAAAGACCCACCGTGTACGGAGCGAATCACGTTAAATCTGTCGAGAGCTCAAACTTTCTCCCGTCGGTGTGGTGTGGTAGCTAGAAGAGGGAATGCCAGCTCAAGTGTCGTCCTCTTTACTTGACAATGGTTCAAAACTACGAGGTCCGTCACCAAAAGCTGAGTCGCGAGTAGCTGAACAGTGTGACGTAAATATTCACTCACTCACTCACCCAAGACGAGGAGAAGAAAATACCAATGCCAATCATTTAACGCTCGGAGGGTTAAGGCTGTAATTGCACCAGGTGGAGGTTCTACCAACTATTGAATAAGAATAAATATTGTTTATAAATACACTTTTATCCCAGGTTTCCAATTACTTATTGGTAGATAGAGTATATTATGCTTAGTTAAACATATTAATTTAATCCCATTTTACAGTAGAGTCAAAATTCTTTTAATTTATCCGATATTTATATTATTGTAACTGACAATCATTAATTTAATTATTAATAATTAATCATAGTTTATTTATATGTGTATGACAAAATTAATAACAATAAGATCTAAGTATAATGTGGTAACAAGTAGTATAAAAAAAATTTAAGTCGGTTCCTACTTAAGTCAACAAAGAAAAATTTTATTTTAATTACTTTTTATTAAATATTTATAATTAATATAAATATGTATATACATATGACAGAATCACAATATTAAGTGACAAAATAGGAAGCGATATCCCTTGCAATTTTCCATTTTCCTTTATATATATGCAGTTGGGATATTTTTTGTTTATTTGTTACTATTTATTCATTCATTAAATTTGATTATTGTAATAAAATAGTACAGTAAAAAAGAAATCACATTCGCAGAAACAAGGTCATCCCGAGGGATTCGAACCCACGACCTTTGGATTATAGGTCCAACGCGCTATCCACTGCGCTACAGAGACACAGCGAACCATTTTCCTCTTTATATATGCTGTTGGACTATTATTTTTTGTCGGTTACTATTTATTCATTTTTAATTTAATTAATGAATTAATAAATTAATATTTGAAAAACAGCATTAGCATCAAGTGTCATGCACTCCAACTTTAAAAAAATGTATTTGAAAAATGTATTTGAACTTGAATGCAAGAGTAAGAATTATTTTATTAACGATTGAATATTTGAACAAGATATATATATATATATATAGGGAGAGAGAGTGAACTAATTGTAGGAATTGAAAAAAGGTGCATTAAATGAGAGAAATTAAATTACAAATACAATGAAAGATATTTCAACTAGTAAATTCACTCATTTAAAAATGCATTAAATAAAAAGAAAATTCTATTCACAGATTCAGTGCTGGATATTTCAACTAGTAGAATCACTCATATAAATTTATTTTAAAAAGGCGATTTATTTTGTAATTTTCTTATCAAAAAACAAAATTATTATACCTCTTGATACATGGTGAACTTTTAAGGAAATCCACATCTTCGGAGAAGTTATCTAGGTTAAATTAGGCTTGAGAGAAGGAAATTCCCGATTGGTGTACAGCATCTGAACTTCAAGAATCTAATCTACAAATGTAAATAGTCATTGTTTAATTCAAACATTCTAACTATATAATCCCAATTTATTGACTATTCGTGACTAGCCTTCACCATGTTTACATATAAGCAACAAGGCTTTTGAAGCCAATAAATGGAATCAAAGCTGAGTAGTTAATTGAGTTTCGAGTTATATTCCTCTTTTTCTATCTTTCTGAAATGAATAACAGTAAAAATTACGAAAACTGTCGGTAATAGAAAGGGAAGAATAATGATTTTTTTATATTTCCCAATTGCACCGTCAATCGAGACTAAATCATTACTCAACAAAATATTTTCTCTGGTTTAGATAGCATGTTGGACATAAAATGTTTTTATCAAAAAAAAGATTAAAAAACAAGTAACATAAAAAGAAAGTTTTAAAGTCAATTCCTACTTAGGTCAATAAATAAAAATTGTATTTTAGTTACTTTTTATCAAATAATTACAATTAATATAAATATGTATATGCATATGACAAAATAACAATATTAAGTGGTAATCAATTTTTTTTAATTACCATTAAAGTATCGTATTGTCATCCAAAACAATCGTGTGTATAAAATTTTCAGTTCAACTGAATGCTTTAAAACGTGAGAAAACGAATCTCTTAAAGTTTTGACTCAAGTCGCTAAAAATGAAGTCAACGTGACTGTATCTATAATTCTGTAAATAATTAATTTCAGTCAAGTGATTTTAATTAAATTATCGTATTGTCTCCCCAAACAATCGTGTATTCAAAATTTCAGCTCAATTGAGTGCTTTAAAATATATTTCATTAAGGATTGAAAATTGGAACGAGATGTAGGGAGATTGTGAACTAAAATTTAGAATTGAAAAAAGTAAAAACATGGCGCGTGTATCTCTTCTAGTTATTGACTATTAAGTATTGCGAAATTTCCAAAATTTTAGCGCTAATTCTTTATATTTTTCTTTTACCGTATTCTTCCTTTTAATTCCTGGCCGTGATATAGCCAAATGGTCATGTTCTCAAATGCATGTCCAATTATATCGAGTCGTGAAGCCTCTGAAGACCCGCCGTATAAAGGGACTGTTGCGCTTTAAACCAATTAAGGCTCAAAGACCACATGTTGGTGTGACCTGAAAGTTGGGAGAAAGTGGAGTGCCAGCTCAGGTGTCATCTTCATCTCTTAACCGTAGTTGAAAATTACGAGATACGTCACCAGTAGCTTACGTGTTACTTTAGAAAGAATTTATTAAATTTGAGAATAGCATTAGTAAGAAGCTTAAATTTTTCATTATCATTTAATAATACGAAAATATCATTGTTATTTAATAATACGAAAATCTAATGTTATTTAATAATACGAGACTCGCCGTGTAGAGGTTGATGTTAATGCCCATTGTCTTCCCGTTGGCGTGTTGGAGAGGAGTTACCACCTCATATGCTGTTCTAATCACTTAATCGTCCCAATAACTTTCGTGTTGCTTCAGAGTGTGGTGTAAATTAAAATCATTCAATACTTTTCTAACTGAAATAATAACTTTCATAATACATAATTTTAAAAAATTTTATTCCTGATGTGATAATGCATTTATCATTCTAAAAAAAATTGATAGCAAAAACCAATTTTAAGTCAAACATTTTGTCTAATAAATCCATGTGATCGAGGAGAAGACGTTTTAGTATCTTAAATTTTGTACCATTTGACACCAGTTTGCACATTTTTTAAACATAAATCCCTTTATATCTAAAAATATAATCAATTTTTGCAAAAAAAAAAATAAATAAATAAATAAATTAGTTAATTCTTGAAATAGAATTGAATTCTTAGACAATATGCAATCAATTCTTCCCTTTCCAGTATTACTTTTTATGAAAACAAAAGGGCAAAAAAAGTTTTTAAAAAATAATCCTAATTTATTTTCAAGTAGTTTTCTTTGTTGCTGTTCTCTAAAAGGAAACGAATTTGCCATGTGATATTTTCTTAAACTTACTTTGAAGTTCGAAATTAGTTTTTGAACGGAAATCAATAATTTTTTCGGGTTGTTGATTATATTTTCAAACTGTAGTTATAAAAACTAAATTATGCTCTTGAAGTCGGGACATTTTTATATGGTTACTGCAATCGATTGAGGTGGAAACACAGTTTCCTTCAATGTTTTTCATTTTTTTCAAAAGATAAAAAATTTTAATTGGGTAGAAAGAAAATCAATTTATTTGTTACGAATTAAATACGGACGACAGAACTTATTACTTTAAATTTAAATGGTGTATTTTTATTTTAATGTAAAATAAGTTTAGCATTGATGTCTGCAAAAGCAAATTTTATTATATAACTAGTAAGTTTAAAAATAATAAATAAGTTTAAAAAATTATTAATAAGTTTAAAAAGTTATTAGTAAGTTTAAAAAATTATTAATAAGTTTAAAAAGTTATTAGTAAGTTTAAAAATTATTAATAAGTTTAAAAAGTTATTAGTAAGTTTAAAAAATTATTAATAAGTTTAAAAAATATAAAAAAGCTTAAAAATTATTAATAAATTTAAAAAATTATAAATAGGTTTAAAAATAATTAATATGTTTAAAAAATTATAAATAAGTGTAAAAAATTATTGATAAGTTTAAAAATAATAAATAAATTTAAGAATTATTAATAAGTTTAAGAAATAATTAAAATTACCTCGTAAAAAAAATTTTATTCCATATAAGCAAATATTTTTTTCATCGTAAAAAAAAATGTTTTTTGTCATACTAAGAAATGCAGTTATATATTAATTTTAAAAATATATCGTCTCTTATTCTCTCTCCCTATAGATCAATATTTTTCTTAATTCTACTGTAGGAATTTTCGCATTATATTTTTTTTTGAAAAAAAATTATTGTTACAGATAAAATTTCAAAACTTTCCGTCTGTGCATACAGAAATCTCTTTTCATTCTGCATATAAATATTTACATAATAATTTCTCAAAGAAGTTGCTTTTATAATAGAAAAACTTGAGTAAGTTGTGAGTGGAGTGGAAAAGATTGAAAATATTTATTTGTTAAAAGTCCATAGAAATCCGTACAATTTTCTTCATCATGGAAGCAAAAGAAGTCCGAAACATAATTAATTGGACATTAAAGCACATGAATGGATAATTTCCTAAAGGAAACTATCTACAAAATAAATTACTTGAGATCAGGAAAGACCTCATTCCACAAATACCCTTGTATAAGTCTAGAATTTTAGATTCATTTTATAAAATTGAAATAAGGAGGTCTGATTATATACGGATCCCCTAATCTTGTAAAAAGACAAAAAGAAAAAGGATTTTTTATTATTTCCCGTGAACCCTCCGAATACAGATTTAATCTTTTTAACTCCTTGGGTACTTACAGTGGAACTTTTATTCTCTCAAAATAGAGAAGGTCACGTAAATTCTTCAAAGTTAGTGTCAGAATCCGAGTTTCGGAATACATTCACTTACTGAGATGTCTGAATGAATATGCTCATAATATGGCAAATTTTTTCCTCCAGGACTAAAAACATAGGTCGACTAACACTTTCCTTACACGTATTTCCCTTTCCGCTTATTTTCCAGACAAAAAAAATGGAGCAGAAAACAAGACTAGAACAGATAGAGCATAAGAAAATAAATGAAGGAAAGAATGTGTTAACTTCAGATAGGATTACTGGAAATAAAACTACTATCGTTGGAAAATATTCTTCCCTTTTCTCACTCTTGGTAACATTTTCGCCCTAATGGCGACATATTTGAAAATTACAGGAATTTTTTTTTAGTTTGGCTTCTTTACGAGTTTCGAATTTTGGATAAATTTTTGAAGGAAAAAAGCACTCTCGACTCATTCACGGATCGCTTCTGTTCTGAAATATACGGTACTTTTTGGTAAAATACATACATAAACTCTACTTTTTGTGTGCGTGTTTTTCATCCCTGAAACACAAGTGGAATCAGAGACAGAGTTTGATGAAATTGTTAATGTGGTTAAATATATTGTCAATCTTGCCTGGCAAATAAATTTAAAAGTGGATAATGATGACCTTCAAGAACTTGTGACTGGCTCACGCGTCTTTTCTCCAAAGGGGTTCTCCCAAGGGGAGGAACATCACAAGCTGATGAATTCCCACAATCACACACAGGAGCTGACAATTGATAAGCCCATAGAAATGCATGTGCAAGAGCAAGACAGTGAAAGATTTTTTAGACTCAGTTCAATCAGAAGGTCGAATGACTATTGAGAATTCGACAGAAAGCCTCACTTTCATTGAAAAAGGGTTGCAAATTTTAGAAAACATGGACTCCAATGAAGATTGCATTTTTTCAACAAAATGGGGAATAAAATATTAATTAGCATACTACGAGGAAATTTTGTGGAAGGTAAAAAAATATTTGAGTCGACAGACTT